TAATAATCTTATCTTATCTTTTCTAGCACGTTACTCACAGACCTTCCCAAAATGAGCGAATGTGAATTTTAAGAAGACCTTCCATATAATTATGCCGATTACTTTTTCAGGGATACCAACAAACCTTGTAACACAGATATAAAGTTATAGAGGAATAATTAATCAGTTCTTTCGAAATTAATACAGTTAAATTATTTCATCAAAATACGGTATACATAAAAAAATGCACAAAGTTCTAAATACAATCGAGTGTAGGGGGTGATTGATAATACATGATCAATATATACGAAATACATTTACTCCTAAATACATATTTATACATTCTGCTCATCTGATTTCTGGAAAATTTTCGCTAAAACTACCTTACATCGAACGGCTTTATAGGGGAGGCCGGGGTAAAGCGATTGACAGAGTATCAATGTTAACGCGAATAACTTCTTAACCCTTTAGCATGAAGACTTTAAATTTAGTGTGAAGATGTATTTTTATATCAAATTTCTTACTCTTTTCATCTTTTAAAAAACTTTCCCAATTTGACATATTTTGACAAAAATTATAAAGCTTTTAGCAAAATATATTAAGGCGCATAATTTAAAATTTGTATACATGTTACTTAAAGTCATAGTTATAAATAAAATTTATCGGAAGTTTATAGCATAACTAGAAGTCACGCAATAGGGTAAAGTTGTTATGGATAAAACGGTTAAAATGTTCCGTCTGATTAAAGTTGTATTTTTTAAATATTAACGTCTATACCAATTAAAAACAGGTGCTAATAATTTTCGTTAATTTATTATTTTTTAAAGTTTAGTTTGGCAGCATTCACTTTCGCCCTGGGTCGCTTAAAGTTTTCGCAAGGCCGTAGTTACAAATATTTATGGTTATGTAATAAATTAAAATTTTTATATCATTTGTTCATCACAAGATCCTCGTTCCATAATTTTCCCCAAGTTCCTCTTCCCGGAACTAGCCCAGAACGTTCGTTATATGTCCCTTATAAATTGATGAGTTTATTATTACAAGAAAAGATTATCATTAAATAAAATTACGGTAAACGATCAAAAATGTAGATTATAGAGAACAAGTCCTTCATTATCTTAGAATAACCTAACATAAGTATAACAATCATAAAATAAATGAAATTTATCATTAGAAATGTCTATTTCGCTGTAAACATTTCTAAAAAAATCGAACGCGTTTGCGTTCAACGTTCATGGACAAAAATCGAACGCGTTCACGTTCAAGTTCATGTTCAAAAAAGAGGAACGCGTTCACGTTCATAAAACCGTTCAATTTTATGATAAATTTTTTTTAAGTTTAATTTAATATAAATAAACTTATATTTTTTAATACAATATATTTTAGCCATGTTAAAAAATAATATAGTTTTATTTTGATAATATAGTTATATTTTGATAATATAGTTTTATTTTGATAATATAATTATAAATAAAATATAATATAATATAGCGAATAAAAAGATATTTTTATTTATAAAAAATTTTTCTTTAAATTTTAATAACAATTGTTTTCAAAATATTTATCTGATAGTACGGCATTAGCCTAAAAACGCGCTCTACAGGGGCAGATGAGGGGATTGCGGTATTATACTTAATAAACAGCTCTTTTAACGTGGAGAATTAATTAAAAACTTATTGTTTTGTTATTTGCAAAAAATTGTGATAAGTTATCCTCCTCCAATCCATTCTCTACTCTCGACAAAAAAAAGGATATCTCGAAATTAACAGTTCTCTAGGGTTTTCAATGCATTTTTTATAATAACGCTATAAATTTATTTATAATAGGTTCGTTCTGTGGAAGTTTTATCTATGGCCATTGAAGTTTGAAGACTGGATGTATAATTGCACAAAGAACATATTGATCCTTATATATATGTTCAAATCTTTAAAAAAATAAAATATATGTAATTAATTGAGTGATAGGTTTAATACCTTTTATTCTATCAATGGTTGACCATATTTGAGGCCATAAATTTTTTTAATTTTAAAATAACTATCGTTATTGTTGGGGTCAAATATCCCAAATGCATTATTTCTTCAAATTTAATGCTTTAACTTAGTTATATCATATAAAATCAAATAATTAATATTAAAATCAAAAGTCGTTTTAAATTAGAACCTGAAGATTTTACTTTTTGGCCACATTTTACACTTGGTAAGCATTGAATTAGTTCCATAGGATGTTAATGTAAAACATTTATCATATTTGGCCATAGTAATGATTATTCATCTGATTTTGGATTTTCAGAATCAGATGATGAGGATTAAATAATAATATCCATGCTTATGCTAATCTATTAAATTAAAATATAAACAATAATATTCAAATTAATAAACTATGTGTTAAAAAAATTGAAATGTGAAAAGGAAAAAATATAAATAAAACATTTTTTAAAAAAATTCGGAAATATTTAATTTTTCAAATAAATAAAAATAAAAATATTTTTAAAATTGAACTAACGTTAAATTCGAACGCGTTCGTCATAAAAAAGGAACGCGTTCACGTTCAAAGTTCGTCAAAAATAAAAGGAACCCGTTCATCATTTTTCTCAAAAAAACGAACTTCGTTCACAATGAACGCGTTCGTTTACAACATTACTATTTCCGAATAGGTAATGTGTGGATGTCTGCAAAACTCGGCATAACCCAAAAAACTAATTCACCGACCCCGTTAGCCAGTTAACTGTGATTATTTTATGTCAAGTCGGAAATTTTTCTTGGTGAGCTTGGAAATGTTTTTGTTAAATCTTTGATCAATGGTTTGATTGTATATTATTTTTTTGCAGATTTTTAATAAGTTATAATACATTAAAAATAAATTAATTTTAACGTAAATTTTTTTATATATTTTAATTTTCCCATTGAATTTGGTGGGGAATTTATTGAAAATAATTGTCGGGTTAAGTTGGGTTTGGAAAAAATTTTTATTCCAACGGGTCGGGTCGAAAAAAGTAGCTTTTTGCATCTCTTTAGTGGAATGATTCATCAAAACCCGAGTCGTCATCACTTTACCGAAGAGATAAGGAATTGACTTTCTCTGGGCTAAGATAACAAAATGACAGCGTTTTACCATTACTAAAGGAAACAACACAGGATGAATATAAATGAACCTCATTGTTTAGACAATTATATGAATTAAGAATGAATAGGAAAAGTTAGTAGATTTTATTACATTAGAAGTAGGCTAAGAATTATTACATGCTCATTTCTTAAGGTTTTGGTCCGAATCAGCCATTCTCTGGTGTATAACAAAATTAAATTTACTTTTTTTAAATTTAAACGAAGAGTTGAAATATGGAAGGAAATAAAAGGGGTAAGGTGGGGATTGGCACTGTAAAGAAGAATAATAAATGCAAATTGAGCAGAAGCTAAACTGTCATGGTATTTTTAATAAAAAGGCAAAACAACAAAATATATTTTTAGTAAATTTTAAATCAAAATAAAACTTCTATCATCATTATTTGAAATCTAACGCAAAACTAAATGCTTCAATTGGTTCTAACGCAAAACTAAATGCTAATTTGTAAGCACTTACAAATAAAAATAAATAAATTATACTCTCTAAAATATTGAGCTAAACTAGCCAAAATATGACTAATTTAATCCGTAGTCTCATTAAAGAAGGAGGGTGGGTATATTAATGGCAGTTTGAGTCCAGTCAAAATTACGAATTGAAATGTTAGATTTAAAGTATCCAGGTAAATTGAAAAGTCCAGTAACCCCTAGAATTTAATATTGGAAACAATTAAAACTTTTTAAAATATAAAATCAATGCAAATTAATGACTGATAAATAAGAATATCTTCAAAAATATTAATAAAGAAACGTAGTCATTAGTTAAAATTCTATACGATATAATAAATAAAATAAGTAATATATCCTATATTAAGATTTCATTGGACTTCAGAATCTTACTGATTTTTGAATTTGAAAAATATGATTGGATGGGAATAATTTCCAATATGTATATAGAATACGCGCACTATGAATGTCAAACATTTTTGTCTAGGACTGTTGAATACTTCAGTTTATATATATACATATATATTTCATATAAATTAAAGACAAAAATATATGGCAAAAATTGTTTGAAATTTATAGGATATGTATTATTTTTGGGACTTATACGGTTGCTTCGTTTTTCCAGCTCGTTTTACCCGAACCTATTCCCTCTTATTACGTTTCCCTTCATCTAGCTTTCTATTTCTCTGCCCGCTTCCTTAACCCTTTAATTTACGTTTTCTTCCCTTAATCACCAAATCATTCAGGCATAATTATGAAATAATATGGTTACAAAAAATGATATTATTTTTACAGGAAAGAGTATAATAATGCTTAGCATATAAAACTAATAATAAAATTTTTGCAAATACTCTAACCATGCTGAAAATGGATTGAATCCTCATGGATTCCAAATCCAATTACCATAACCATAGGCGTATCCAGGATTTGGTAAGAGGAAAGGGGGGAAGCACTATTAGATAAATTTTTTCCCCATGAATTTTACTGGAGATCTTTTGGTTCACTTATTGTAGATCTTTGGCTATATTAGATTTTTATGTATAATATTGGTTTTCACTTTTTTTATATTAAAACTTATTTTTGAAATTTTTTTTTGAATTATACTCGTTATTTTAAAAAGTTATTAACTTTTACTAATTTTCCTTTCAAATTCTTCCTTATAATGCAATTTTGGGGGAAAAAGGGGTGTAGGAGGAAAATTTTTATTAGCTTAAAATGATATTTACGAGAACAGGCAAATTTTCGATAGGGGGGGGGTGAATACTCCCCTCCTCTCAATTAGTTACGCGCCTGCCCATTACAATATAATATATTAGTGCACATGAATTTTCTTAAATTAAAATATAAAAATCATGAATTAAAAGTCTAGCAAATCATCCAAACAATGTAAACTTTTTTCTCTTCTCTTTAGTAATATTAACATTAGATAATTATGATAAATCAATAAAATGAAGTAACCTTACAGGTTGAATGTCCTAGATGCCATCTTCATTTATTCATCCTGAAATCTTTCAGATCTAATAAATTTTGAATCATCTCAGGTAAAAAATGAATTTATTTATTTTGAGAAAAGGTCACAAACAATTTTTGATTTAAATAAATATTTAATTGTTGGTCATTTTTCTTTATAAAAAATACAAAATTATTCTTCAAATTACGTTATTACCACTAAGACCAAAAAAGTTAAAATATTTTAATTCTTTCCGACTTCTGTTTATTATTTTCTAATCATTTAAAACCAAAAACTATTATATCATTTTATTTATTCCTATTTATTTCAATCAATAAAAATATTTTTAAATATTATTTACTTACATGGGGAGGAGCAAAGTAAATCTGAATAAATATATTAATGTGAATATTATTTCTTTATTTTGAGTTAGATAATAAATCATTTGAAATTATTATATTTCTATATTTTGTAACAAAATAATGAAATGAAATTAAGATTCTAAAGTAGTACTACATAATGTAACTAAATATAAACTAATCTGTTTGTGCTTATATTATAAATTATTATCTATTTATATTAAATATCTCTCTGGTGGAGTAAAATAAATGAGACTGTTCCAGCAGAGCAAGAATGTTCAAATTATCAATCATTACTACAAGACTAATAATTAGAATTATTCGTGATTCGATTCGATTGTTTGAATATGAATAATAAAATTATTCGATTAATACGATCGATTATTTTTTATCAATTAGATAGAATTATATAATTTAAAATTATTTGTATATACTAAATTTTTTGTAAATATTCAAAATTATCTATAAATATATGAAATTATTTAAATTTTAATTATCCATTTTTTCATTTTTAAAAGAATTTAATTATCGAATCGGTTATTTAGACCAACGTATGTATTTTAATATTTGTACAACAATTGGAAATAAGAAATTATCCCGTTCTGAAATACAAATTGAATACGAATATTACAAATATTAGATGCGTATTTAATGTGAAAATTAATTCATATCTAATTTTATTTTTCATTTCAATTATAAAAACAAAAATTAATAACTAAGTGAAAAAAAAGTAAAATAAAAAACAGAAGCCCCCCCCCCCACCCCAAAAAAAAAATACATAATAATTAATTAAATACTCCTTTTATAATATTTTTTAACCCGGCTAGCTAAAAGTTTACAGTAAAAATATTTTTAAAAAAACCCGGGCGAGGCCAATTTAAAATAATTGTTTAGTAATCAATTAAATTAGGCTGGAAAATATTGTAGTAGAGTGTTAGTTTAACATTCATTACGATTGGGGGGGGGGTACTAATTTTAAATATAAAGCTATAGGAATGCAGTTATTAGACCCCTAGTCATAGGCGTAACCACGACTTTACTAAGAGGGAGGGTAATTCTATGTGGCCTTTCTGCCCGTAAATTTTATTGGGGGTTTTATTGCCATATTGTATAAATTTTGGAAAAAGGGGATAAGGGAATATAGGAATACTTTTTATTAGAAAATTTTTTGAAAACAAGCATTTTTACGAAGGAGACTTCCTAACACCCCCCCCCCCCCCCCCTTGAATATGGCACTCATATTATAACATGTGCATTCACATTTTAATTTTAAATATTATACAGTTTCATTAATATAATTTTTTTTTTTAGTTTGAAAAAATTTATTCTCAGGGGAAATCTCCCAACGATATAGTAATAATATTATTTAAAAAAATTATCCAAATTGATTCACAATTTATTGACAAAAATCAATAAATTATTTAAAATATGAAATAAGGGAAGATTTACATTAGTATGAACAATTTATTTAAACTATTTTTTTCTGATGCTAAATTAATTTTTTAATATATAATAATAAGTACTTTTCATAGGAAAATTATTTTCACTTCAACATTTCTATCAAAATAATTTAAATAAAATTTTAATTGTTAATTTGTTGTATTACTTTTGCATTATAATTTTTTTCCTTTTTGGTTTTCATGTTTCGGGGTAAGCTTCTTCGAAATCTCTTTCGATTTTACATTTCCATGTTATTCAGTTTATATTTAGTGTTATTGGTTTTAACTTGTGGGCCCATTGGAGTCTTATTCTTCCTCTCTTTCGTTTACCCATCACTTTTAGAGTCCATACCATCTAAGTCTGTTGACCATGATCTATGTCTTAATGGGTTATTTTAAAAACTTCCCACTATATTTATGTTTCGTATCTTATACTTTTTAGATAATCCTGATATCATTCTCGGCATCTGATCTCCATTGTCTGTTCATCTGATTCCTTGCTTGGCCATGTTTCAGAGCTATATAGGATATTTGGTATTACGAGAACGCATATTTTCCCTTTCAATTTGTTAGGAGACTTTTGTTAAAGAGCTTATTTGATAAATTTCTCCATCTCACCTTGGTTCATTTTATTTTTTATTTCTCTTTCTGTTGTGCCATTACTTTGTAAAGTGGAACCCAAAATCTTTCCTTCATTTCAGCCTTTGTTTCAGCAAGTATAGCAATATCACCTGCGAATATCATATTCTATAGGGTTTTCCCGAGTTATTATGTAATAGGGCATTCATTACTGTTATAAACAGCAGTGGACTGAGAGCCGACCTTTGATAAACTCCCTTGACTATTTGGAAACCGATTTATGAGCCCGCTGTACTTTGGATCATTGTCATATATACATGTCTTGTATTATTCTTATATATTTTTCCGATACCTTTTTGTGGCGTAAGCGACTATCGAATATGCTTTCTTGGGATTCTATCGAAAGCAATCTTTATAGCGAGATAAACCATATGGAGTAGTGATCTGCATCGGGCCTAATTTTTCAAACCCAGCCCAGCCCGAAATTTTTTACAAAAGTTTTGCCGGCCCGGCCCAAACCCGATATTTTTTTAAAAGTTTTGCCGGCCCGGTCCGAACCCGAAATTTTTTTTAAAAAAATTTACCGGCCTGACCCGACCCGAATTTATTTAAATATAGAAATTAATTTTTATAATTACTCAAAATAAAAGGCATATGTTATATGGCATCTAGTTTCTATGAATAAAATCAAATATTTTTTTTTAAATAAAAAATTTAATGTAAAATTGATAAATTTAGATATATTTAAAAAAATTTCCAAAGACCCACCAGACCCGGCTCAAATTTTTTTAAAAAATATTAGGCCCGACCTAGCCCAAACCCGATTTTTATAAAAAAAATTAGGCCTGAGCTCGGCGGGTATGAGCCGGGCCTACTTTTGCAGATCTTGGAGCTTTTTGAATCTTTTGTGTTTTTCATTCAGTAAGTACCCAACTTTATCCTTTTTTTTAACAAATAAATGAAACATGTTAGTACTACAATAATATTTTATTTGAACACTTATTTTTTCTGGCATAAAATAATACATGATCGTGATTTTACAAAAGAATATTGTATTTAAACAAATGTTTAAAAAAAGGTTATTATTTAAGAAAGATTTATGCAATCAATGGCTGAAGCTATTGAATGACTTCGGGGTAAATATTATACATGCCCGCATTAATAACACATATAGTTATATGCCTGGAAGATGTGCAAAAATTAAAATTATGTTAAGAATCTGGTAATGTTAGGAAGGGTAGTATAAGTTAAATTATATAATTATTTATAAATTTATAATATAAAAATAAAATGTTATTATAAGTTTAGTGATCTTTATGATGACGCAAACATTATTGCTGCGAATCCCCGTCCATTATTTAGATATGACTGGCCGTGGATAAGGCAAAGAAATTTAGCAAGAAGATGGAAATTTTACAAATAATAAACCATTAAATGCCTCAAGGGGCTCTGATAAATATAATGTTATCCTTATATCAAGTGCTACCGTAGAACGTTTGTTCAATCTAGGGAGTTTATTTTTGGAGAGAAAAGAGCATGTCTTTTAGAGAGAAATTTAAAAAATAATTTATATCTAAAGGCAAATGAAAATTTATTAGCCCGATTTTTTATAAAAAATATTCATGGTAAAATATATATGATATTGTGATTATATATTCTGTCCTCCAGTTCTTTTTTAAGTGTAATTATTTTTTTATCTAAATAAATTGTATATTTTATTTTAAACTTTTTTGATTAAAATTTGTAGACCGGAAATTTTTTTATAAATGATTTATAAAATGTAACTAGTTATTTTAAAATATAACTGTAATTAGTACAACTTTTAACAACACTAACAATAATTATGTTTGATGATGATGAAAACCTTATAAAACCATTAAGAAAATATTAAATTCTAGAAAATACAAATCTTATTTTGGAAAACATTTAATCAGTTTATAATTTAATATAATTTGACGTTTTGCTATTGCTAGCAATGTGGGCTGTTAATATACACACCGATGAAATCGTCATAATTATTAGCACTTTCTCACCTCCTCTCACACGACATGCATTTATAATTTACTTTTAGAAATGAAATTAGGTTAGTAAACCCGGAGCAGAAAGGTACGTGGGTCAAGAAAATAAACAAATCTCTTTAGACCCTTGGAAATGTTATAACTGTCCTAGCAAAAGGAACCTTTATAATATCCATTTGTATTTAACATTACATATGTTGGAGAGAGATAAAAATATTAACATGCATATATGAAATAGAGATCTCACGTGTCTTATAGGGATAGCAATTGACACGGATTTTGCAAAATAGTTTGGGCGGAAATGCCAGAACTATCATAATTATTTGAGTCCAGCTTCCTTCTAAGAAATGGAAACCAAATCGACTCTTATTTCAGCCAACATATTTATATCAATGCTAAATTAAGAAAAATAAAAAAATCTTCCTCACGTATTTTAAGGAGAGATTTTAATAAAATATATAATAGGTTCTCAAATATTTTATAGGTTTTTATGAAACGCGAGAATTTCAAAAATAGTCTAATAATTTTTTTAAAAAGTTGAATGTCTATATATAGTTTTATATGTAGGGGCCCTTGCTTCTTTGCATCCTTTTCAAGTTGCGCGGCCTTGAACCTTGTTTCGGGTTAGGCTTGAGAGATGAAAACTATTATATAGTAATATTATTTGTAGTTTGAAGGATGTATTTTTACATAATTCATCTTTTCAGATTTAAAAAAAGAAAATTAATT